ATGTGTCTATGGAATATTATTTACATTCTTTTTTACAATTACTACAGTGTTTGTAATTCTTCTATTAAAACAATAAAATATTTATTTAAGAAAATAAGAACTTATCTTTTTCTTTAGTAAAAATCAATTATCAAGACTCTTACCTAATAATAAAAGTTCATTAACAAAATGGTTTGATGGAATTAATTCATTTAATATTGGATTTAGTGTATGTACTATTGTATCAAATATTGTGTTATTAGTTTATTGTGAAATATTATGGCAGTATCAAGGATGTTTTGTACGTTTGTTAATTATTTTATTATAAATATAAAAAAAGTTATTCATCTAAATTAGTTGAAGCATCATATACATCTACAATATTTGAAATAATGTTTGGATTTGAATCAAGTGTTCATTTTCTTTTATGTGGTATATCAATGATATTTTTTATTCTTCATTTACATGAAATATTTAAAACATTTATTGATGTTGAATTTAAAAAGATTAAAAGAAGAGAAATGATTTGTAGTTTTATTCTTGTATTTTCTTTCTTTTGTCGTTGTGTTTTTAATTTATTATTTAATGGTATTGCTGTCACTAGAAGTGAAGTCCTTGAAAAAGATGTTTATGATTATCATAGAGTCTATGAAGATTATAGAAACCAATTCCTTAATGGTCCAACTGACTGGTTTAGTATTATTGTAACAGCAATTACACCATTGGTCACAATGCAAATGATGGTAGACTATCCTTTTTAGTCTTGTAATTCATTCTCTTCTAAATCATTTAACGTTATATATAACAGAGTTTCAAAAATAGATAATAAAAAACCCCTCTTCACTAAAACTATAATAAATAATTAAAATAATATAAAAAAAATTAGATAAAAAGAAAAAAGAAAAAAATAAAAGAAAAACCCTTCAAACAAACTTTGAAGATTGAGCAAAGAGTTTGTTACTGTACATACCATATTTGTTTTAATTCATTATTTTAAATAAAAGTGATATCTTATTGAAAATATATTAACAAATAGTGTCTTTGAAGATTTCCGCCATTAAAGCCATGAGCAAAAATGATATGAATGCTAAGTTGGTTGAACTTAAAGGAGAACTCGCCAACCTTAGAACCGCTAAAGTTACTGGTGGAGCTCCAGCTAAAATCTCAAGATTAAGAGTTGTTAAGAAAGATATTGCTAGATTATTAACTGTCATGAACACCCAAAGAATGGAAGCTCTTAGAAAGTATTACAAACAAGCCAAATATGTTCCAAAAGAAATTAGACCAAAGACCACTAGAAAGGAAAGAAGACAATTAACCAAAGCACAACTCAACCTTAAAACTGTTAAAGCTGCTAAAAAGGCACAACACTTCCCAGCTAGAAAATTCTTTGTTCTCGCCTAATTTTAATTTTGGTTGTTGATGACTTTTTTATTCTTTTATTTTTCTATTATTTCATTTTTTTAAGGGTTTGTTTTTATTATTCATTATTCATTTTCTGTTTATACTACAACATTATAACTGTCTTTGTTATTTACTCTTTGACTAACCATTCATTGTCTTTATTATATTCACTTTTATTTCAAATATTGTCTTGTGTCTCTATTATTATTTACTCATATTTCTTACTTTCAGAACTAATAAAAACAAATTTAAAAAATCTTTTTTCATAAAAGCAATAAATAGAAATAAAAAACTATATTAATTGAAAAAAATATAAATGAGAGTTAAGAAATTAATTACAAGAAGAAAAATTAATCATATTAAAGAACACGAAAGAAAGAACAAAAATTATCTGTTAGAAAAGCAATGAGGAAAAAAAAATAGGATTAATAATAATTTGAAAAATTAGATCAATCATTATTAATGACAGTCAAAATCTCCATTTCCGATAAATTCTCTAATAATAGAGTTACCAGCGAAATCGACTGAATCCATAGGTAAATAATATTGTAATAACCTTTTATATGACTGTGCAAATCCGTAATTTTTGTCATCACTTGATACCATCCTAAGTAGATTCAATGAAAATATAATTAACCCATTAACCTCTGTAGTTAAAAAGGTAGAATAAACGAAATCTGCATCTTTAATGTACGGATAAATCCAGACTTTTTCAGAACTAGCAACAGCATCCCAAACTCCTAATGTTTTTGAAGCACTATAAGACCTAAATATATTATCTCTTACCATTCTTCTTTGAATTCTTAAGAAATTATTATTTAAAATTACATCATCATTTAAACATAGTTTGTTTGATAATGGTGCAATAAACACTTTAACTTTTTTATCGTGTGGTATTTTTTCTGTTAATCGTTCATTTAAACAATGAATTCCTTCCATAATAATAATTCCATTTTTCTCTAATTTCACTTTAGTTCCTTTATTAGGAACTGGTGTTGATGTAGCAAAATCAAATTGAGGTACAACTACTTCTTTTCCTTGCATTAACCCACACAAATGATCATTAAGCAATCCAAGTCTTAATGCTTCAATACACTCCCAATCTCTTCTTCCATCAGGTCCAAGTGGACAATAGTCTTTATGGACATAATAATTATCTACAGAAAGTACTAATGGATTATATCCAACTCCTTGAAGTCCTAATCCTAATTTGTGAGCAAACGTTGTCTTTCCACTACTTGATGGACCAGCAATTAATACTAATTGTGTTGGCCGTGATTTAATAACTTCAATTAACTTACTTAGTTGTTGTACATGATAATTCTCACTTTCAATCATTAATTCATTAATAACCTTTTGTGCAATTTGTTTATTAATATAACCAACATCCATTTCTTTATTGAGTTCATGTGGACATGTAATAATTGGAGCGTCATTAAATTTGTATGAATCTGTATGAATTAAGCTAGGGAAACAAACTAATAAAGAGCCATTACTTTCTAATTTAAGTTGAGAATATTCAGGTAGTATTGATGGTTCTGAAATATATGGTTGATCAAATGAAAGAGTTGCAAAGTTATTAATAATAGCACATGGATATGTTGGTTCATTTAGTGACTCTATCAATGATTTAGAATGAGGTTGATGAGTTTCAACAAAATGTAAATTAAGATAAGAATGAGGTAATTGTCCATTAGAAATACTTTGGGTATGGAGTTCATTAAATTCTTTGTTTAATTCTTTTAATTGTTCTTCATTTAATTTAGGACTAACACAAAACTCAGTGCAATCTGAATAATCAGCAATAACTGTCATCTCTACATCAGGGTATAACTTATGAAGTGCATATCGAGCAATTAATATCTCTGATCTACGAGCCATGTTTTGTCCTTCTACACATCTGATATAACATGGAGATACAGTACATCTTGTTGTTTGAATATAACTATTTAGAGATTGTACAATACCATTAACTTTTAGTCCTACTACTACTGCTGGAGTTCCTTGTATTCCAATCTCTTTGACTACTTGATCACAAGTGATTGGAAAAGACAAATTATATAACTTCTCATTATAAACAACACTAGTCATATTTTTGTTATTTTTTTAAGTTTCTGTTAATTACTCAGTTCTTTTAGAGAAGAATTGGATAATTTCTTTTGGCTTCTAATTTCATTCTTAAAACAAACTCCATTTTCATTTCTTTCCTTTCTGAAGATTCTTTGATAAATATGAATATAAAGCTCTTAATTTTAAGTCTTCTAAAGTTTCAGGAATTATACCTAATAATTCGATATTATTAACCAGTTCTAAGAATACGAGAACCAAAAAATTTGTTTTGTTTCTTTTTTTTTTCTGAAGGGTTTTTTTATTTTATATGTAATGACAAAGAATTAAGAGAAATTGAAGAAATGAAATTAAAGAATACTTAAAATGACACACAAGAAGAAATACATTTATTCAATTAAAAAGAATAAAGCAATAAAAATTAATTTGAAATAACCCTACGTTGAAAAGGATTACCAAAGAGTTAAATATTTATATAAACCTTATTTTTTAAAGTCACTTGGTATGAAACAAACTTCTTCAAACCTTTTTAATCAATACAATTTTGATTTCTTTTTATATAAGTAAAATAAGACATTAATTTTCTTTTTTAGGAAGGATATGATCTTTCTTGAGTGGAAGTTGACAATTCTTTCTATTTATATCTACAAATGAAGTTGGAGTAGTTGACTGAGAAATTGGAACAGAAGAAATAGGTGAACCGATGTAAGATGTAGAAACAGATAATGAAATTTTTGGTTGTGTTATTTTAGTTAAAGGTTGATTTTCTTCTTTTACGATGATTGTTTTTCTAGAGTCATTTGGATTTAGAGTTGCAGAAAATGTTCCTATTTTTGATGAACGGGTTAAGAAGATTGAACCTGTTGGTCCACTTAAGAAAACAGAAGATTTTCTCATTTTTTCAGATTCTTCTTTTTGGCGTTGTGAATCACTTTTTTCTGTTTCATAAAAAGATAAGCATTGAAGGACTTTAGAGAATGAACTTCGTTGAAGAGTTTCATTATCTGATTTATGTTTATTAATGGATATATCAACTTGTTCCCAACGGCAAGTATTATCAAACTGATTTTCTAGTTCATCACAATCTTCTTCTAAGCAGTCCATACATTGTCTATCAAAACTTTCTTTCTCAAAAAGAAAACAATCACAAGACTTACACCTCAAACATTCAGTGTGAAAAGTTAAATTTTTTCCATACACACAAACTGCTCTATCCATGTCTATCTTTTGACCACAACCACAACATTTTTGAGGTTCATTAGAAATATCTCTCATTCTTAAGAATGGAGGTTTTTCTTTTGATTTAAACAATGGGCAATCAATGAAGATAGATCTTCTAAATTCAGGCATCACAGAAATATAATTAATTCGATGTTGAATAAAACGTTCAAACATTTGAGATTGATTGAATGCAGTTAAAAATATTTGTAATTCAGTGGAACTTGATTTAATGAAATTTTTATTATTAAACACAAAACCAATATTTTGTTGTTCAAAGAAAGCAAAATACCTACCAAAGAGATCAAGGAATAATTGACTAAAACAATTGCAAATCAGATTATCAGGATGTTCAAATGATGGATTATCAATAATACTTTTTAGTTGATTTAATAATCTACCAGTTTCTTTAAAAGCAAAAAGATTTAACCCACTTTTACGTCTTTGAAATTTAGAAGTTAAAACATTATAAATATTAATATCTAAAGTATTTGAATACAACTTATTAATATTTATTAATCCTTGTTGTGTTGTTCCAAAAATTAATGGTGTTGGACAACCAGCAAAACCAGCATAACTTTCTTCTATGGGTAACATAGGAATTAAAACACCTTGCCATTCGAATGGAATTAAAATTTGTAAAAAGGCTTGAATGATTGGCATTCCTTGATCAATTGATTCTACTAAAAACATTGTATTTTCTTCAAGTAAAATACGACCAAGTAATTCAACAAAATCTGCAGGACCCAATTTTTTCAATATAGGAAAAATAGGAATTTCTGGATTATGAGAAATTATAGTAGATTCATTAATAACTAAATCAGATTCAGGATATTCATATGCTTTTAGTTGACTAAAAAGGTTTCTGAGATGTGTTAAACCTTTTGTATTTAATAATTCTTTTAATACTGGAAGAAGACGAATATATAAAGAAGAATATCTACCACTTACTAAAATTAATATCTTTGGAGTTTTATCATCATTCCATCGTTGAACATAATAATAATATCGTTTCCCATTTTCGTCTGTTGAAACAAATGAATGAATTAAAGGTGGAACAGTTAAAAGGTCTTCTTTCTTTACAATCTTTGGAACATCAGGATAAATAAAATACATTACATTTGCTATATTATTTCTACTTTCATCATTAATTCCACAGTTAATATTAATGTGTAATGGATCACTTTCAGATGATGTCACAGTTAAATAAAATGCTTGTAAAAGTAATTGGTGTGGATATTTTGGTTCTAGATTAGTTGGATTTTTACTTAATTGTTTAATAGACATTCTATTTTTATTAGTTCTTCAACAAATAAATTTTTCCACTTTTTTTCTTATAAAACTTTAATTTTTAGTAAAATTTCTTTTAATTCACCTTTGATTTGTAAATAAAATATCTTAAAAAATATAAGTCATTGAAAAGTTCTCTCATTAAATACTTTTTCATTATTTCCTTTTTCAATATCATAAAATCCTTTTTTTTCTTTTTCTCTTAATTTTTCTTATAAATAATTTTTAAAAATTGAATACTTCAGTAATACTAATAAAATGATTTTGTTTGCAACTATCTCAGACTTATAAAATCCTTGGTACTTCTTATTCTCATTATTATTTAACATTAAACCTGGTAATTTTTTTAAAAATAAGTTCTATGCAAATAAGTTAATAACTAAAAATTTACTTATGTAAACTAACTTTTTTATTCTGAAAATAATTATTTCTTCAATTTTTATTCAAAAGATTATTAGAGACACTAATCTAAAATGAAGTTTAAATAAAACTATTATTTAAAAGATATAATACATAGTCTTGAAAATTAATATTTTGTTGTTATTAATAATTTTAAATTTGTTATTAAAAATTAGTTATTAAATGAAAGAATAAATTTGACTATTATCAATAATTCATTAAAGTTTTACTTATTTTATGAAAAAAAGAAAATAATCTATAAATTTTTATTATAATAAAAAAAAAACTAAAACAAAAAAAAGTTCAGGGAAATAAAAAATAAAAATTATGTTTAAAAAAAAAGAAGAAGAAAACAAAAAACAGAAAATGAATAAAATTAAGATTTTTGTTTTATACACAAGAAAGAGCCATTAAAACAGAAAAGGCTCTAATTAATGGAAATAATGAACACTTTGAGCATAAACACCAAAATTAAATGCTCTTCTAGAAAGGGTATTGTACTGTACTCTCCAACGCTCTGAAGGATTTTTTTCCCCTAATAGTCTATAATATTTTTTTAATAAAGCAGCATCATTATATAACAAAGATTGTAATTGAAGAAGAGTTTGAATGTATTGGGTTGTATCAATTTCAATTAAGGAAGTTTGTGATTGAACTGAAGGAGATAGTTCAACAGAACTAACCACAGTTTTAGCACCACTTTCTGAAGACTCACTTTTATTATCATTAGCAGTTTTACTACGAATCCTAAAAGAAGCTCTTAACTTAAAATTTTTACCAGTCTCAATGTTGGTGCAATGATTAAAAGTATCCAATAATATTTTTTTCCAGTGTGGTTTGGTAAAAACACTAAAATCTTTTACACAATTCCAATGTTCAGTAACAAACTCATAAATGTCTTGCTTCATCGAATAAAATTCCTTCTCTGGTTTTAGTTCTTTTAAGGACTTAAGAATAAGGATACAAAGGTCTGTAGTTTTTATTTTCTTTAAACCATTTCTAAGAAGTACAACTCTTTTACATAAACAACAAGTACAATGATATTGGTCTTCAAACTTTTTTTCATAAGTATTAAAATTAGAGGTTTGCATTGTAAACTTAAAATGTTTGAATAATGAGTAACCTTAAGTTTAAATACCTTCTAGGTTTGCTATTTTTGTTTTTCATTTTAGTTTTTTGTTCTTTTGATAACCTTACATTTACAAAATTTTTTTAATATTTATTATGTCTTGCTTGTCATCATCCTTTTGCCCTTTTAACTATTAACTTAATTTTTTTTATTATATTTTCTTTGGAATAGTTTTAATACACTAGGATTAAATCTGAAACAACCTAATATAAGATGTTAAGAACCTTCTTCTTTAAAGAGAAACCAGAACTAATAATTTGTATAATATATAGTATAAATAAACCTAAAATAGTTATAAATATGAAACACAAAAACCACAAACCCTTATGATTTTTGGAATGACGTTTTTAAATCTTCCCTATCAAGAAATAAAAAGTACAGGAAAGACAATAAATAAAATTTAATAAAATAATATAAAGTAAAAGTAAAAGAATGAAAATGTTGAGAAAGAATAAAAAAGGGATATAAGAATATAGTTATTATTAAATCGGCAAGAAAGGTTTCATATCCCCCGTTCTATCTATTTGTTTAAAAAACAAAAGACAGATTGGGTTGAATATTATACCAAATTACCTTAGTAATTTAAAGAGAATAAAAGAGGAGATAGTATTTGGTGATTGTTTAAACAATCATTCTTATAATACTAATCTCTCTTTCTAAAGATTAAACATAAAAAAGTAAAGTAATCGTAATTACTAATACTTTATTAAAATTTAGGAGATAATTAATTTTGAGTTCAAATAGCTTGTTATTCTTCTTATTTTTTCTTTTTGATGACATTAGTTTTTTATTTTTAATAACTTTTATTATTCATGATGGTTTTGTATAAAAAAAGAAGAATTTAGAAGAATATATAAGAAAAATTTTTGTAATTCTATTGGTTCTTTTAAGTAATCTCGTTTGTTCTATTTTTAAATTTCATTTAATTCTTTTTCTAATGATTTCTTTGTATTTTTGAAGAGAAAAATAAAAAAAAAACAAAAATCTAAATTAATTTTTTGTTATTTGTTTTAAAGAAAATAGAAAGACTGGAATCGAAGAATAGAAAGATGTAGAATCTAGTCGAAGTTGTAAGAGAAATGATATAAACAAATCAAGATCTCATTTAATTCAATTCATTGGTATGAGTAAATTAACTGTTGTTGCATCCCCACTTGCTCCAGAAGCTGTTGGTGCTTATTCTCAAGCTATTATTTGTAATGGTATGGTTTATTGTAGTGGACAAATTGGATTAGATAGAAAAACTGGTGATTTTGCTGGTAAAACTATTGAAGAACAATCTAAACAAGTTATGACAAATCTTAAATATGTTCTTGAGGAAGCTGGTTCTTCAATGGACAAAGTTGTTAAGACTACATGTCTTCTTGCTGATATTAAAGACTTTGGAGTCTTTAATGGTATTTATGCTGAAGCTTTTGGAGATCATAAACCAGCTAGAGCTTGTTTTGCTGCTGCTGCTCTTCCAAAAGGTGCTTTAGTTGAAGTTGAATGCATTGCTACTCTCTAAATTACATTTCTTTCTTTAGTTTTGGTTTTTTTATTAAAATAAGATATAACAAATAATTTTACTTGTAACAAATTATTTTTCAACTAATCTAAATCCATCCAATCATGTTGTGTTGTTGTTTGGATAAACAACTCTTCTATTGATACTGCTACTTGGGAAACTTGTTTACAAAAATGATACTCTAATTTACAAATACCTGCTTCTAAAGCTGATTCACTTAACAACTTCAAAATATCAAATCCTTTGAACATACACACTATTAGTAATTCTTTTATTCTAGTTAATGTTTGAATAAGAAAATCATTTGAACAAAAGAGTTGAAGCAAAAAGATTCCATACAACTCAAATATTGGAAGGCAACATAATGTTAATTTAAATTGTTCATTAGCATGAAGCACTAGATTATTCAGGAAAAATATTAGTGATTGTAATTCTTTTATTGTAAAATAATGACTATTTGCAATAATAGTTTGGATTATTTCAACTAACTCTGTATGGAAATCTAAATAAAATACTGTCAAATTCCCAAAAATAATTAAAAGTTGTGAAATATCATTTTCATTATGTTGTGGTCCATTTAATAATTCCTTAAGTAATATAACCATTTTATGAACAATCTCTTTAGAAATACATGTCTTTCCCAAATTTTCATTGAGCATTGATAATTCCGTAAAGAAGTTTAGAATAGAACGAAACAAAAAATTGTTTTTAGTAAAGAGAAAATATGTAACTGTAGGTAATAGTTGTGATTTAGATAATAATGGTTTGCAATAAGGTTTTTGTGTAATTAGTAATGACAAACAATCAACAAAGGTATTTGACAATGGTCGAGTATTCAGGAATAATGTAATTATTTGGTGAAAGTATTCATAAGGATAAATAGAATGTTCTATAATTCTTTTAAAACAAGTGGCACAACTATCAACAGTAGAAGGAGATTGGTGATATAACTGAATACAAGAACACAAAGAAGAGAGAAGGTCTTGTACTTGAACCACAGACAATGAGGGAGCTAATCCAAGTAAGTTAGCCAAAAGCCATAATGCTGTTAGACGAATTTCATTATCAAATCTGGTAATAAATGGATTAATTATTGAAAAAATATTATAACTAAAGATAATTTGTGAATCGAATTTTTCGAAAGAACTTATAGCAGTAAGTGTCCATAATATAATTTCAAGAGCTTGGCTGGAACTTTGTTTATTTTGTAATATTATTAATACAATTTGAATCCCATTATTATCTATAAATTCATTGTTCCAATTTCTTTTACTCTTCATTATGGTTGCTCTCAACTTCTTTAAATTTTCATCTACATCAATTCCTTTTTGTATTTTTAATAATAGTCCTTGAATACTTTCTTGGAGAATATTGATATTATTTCTTTGATTTAGTAATATCTCTTTTCTTCTTTGAGTCCTTAAAAGTTTAGTCATTTCTTCTCTTGTTTGGCACAGAGAAGATAAGGAAGGTGCAACTCGAAAACTCATCTATTGGATAAAACAACTAGTTCCATAAAAAGAGTACAATATATTTAGAAACACTTTTTTAACTTTTTATGTACTTAGTCGTTTTTATTTTGTCCTTATTTTCGTTGTTTCTTTAGTTTTGTCATCAGTATAGGTATAAGTTGTTTTTTTATCTGATGTTATTTGTTCTTACTTGTTTTTATTTGTTTCTTAATCAAATCAATTTGATAAAATAAAAATGGAGGGTCTCATTCCATTCTGGTTTTTTTCTCATAAGATTTCTCTTTTCTTTTTTACTCTTTCACTAGAAAGTGATACGATGACTTTAATAAAATGATATGACAGAAAAGAAATGACAAAATGAGATGAAAAGAGAATCTAAGATAGACTTCATGTTCCAAAGAAGGATTTCAGTTATTTATGTCAATGAATAAATCCCAAAAATCTAAAACACTAAAAAGAAAAATAACATGGGACTTAGCAGCTCAATTAGTTGAATATGCAACAGCTACAGATCTCAAAATTATTGATGAATCAACTAACTTAAGAATATGTAACTTACTAAAAGCCAATAAGAATAAAGCTAAAGATTTATTGAATGTATTAAGAAAAAGAATGCTCAATAAAAGAGATAATGTTGTTTATTTATCTCTTGTTTTACTTCAACAAACAATTATTGAATGTCCAGAACTTATTGATTTATATTCAACAAGTGCTTGGCAAGATTGTTTTATCACAACACTGCTACGAACTAATGTACTAATTGAAACAAAGAAGAAACTCTTGTCAATTATTCGAGGAATGACAGAATCATTCCCAAATGACTTACTATTCAAAGATACTTATGAACAAATAATTCAACATGGTATTGAATTTCCTGAAGCAGCTCATTTTGGTTTGTTTATTTTAATTAATTTATTAACAAACATAATAGTATAGACAAAGAAATTTCATTTGTAACAAAAGTATCTAAATCAAAGTTTATTGATGAGTGTGAACAATTAATTGGTTATTGTCAGTTCTTAAACCAGTCATTTGATTATTTAACTATTTTGGAAGTTTGTTGTTTTTAATATAATTGTTAATTAGATACAAATGAAAACCACTAACTATAAAAGTTAGAACAACTGAAAGAAGACACAGAAACAAATGAGTTAATATTTAAGTTAGAAAAGGCTCAGCCGATTATTATTTCTTTATTAAGAAAAAAAGATTTGTCAATAGATGTTATTCAGTTAGTAAAAACAACTCATGAACAAATTAAAACAACATTAGAACGTCACAAAAAATTAACAGAAAAGTGGGTGCATTTAGCCTGTACTGATAAGAAAATAGTAGAAAATACACAATTTATGTTTGAATCAAAGAAGTTAAGATAAATTCAGTCATTCATTGTTTTATCATTATTTAATTTCTATGAAAAAAAAAAGAAGAATAATAAACTTAAAAATGTTAAATATGTCTAGTGAAATAGACATTTTTGGGGATGATAGTTCTATTGATATTCCCATTACAAAAGAACAACACCAGTTCAATGAAGCTATTGAATCAATAACAGACAAAGATGGATATTTTCGTTTGTATTCTTTTTGGAAAGAGATGAATAAAAAGAAGGAATAATAATTCATTATAGTTGGAAGAAATGGAGAAGTTGTAAATGGATATCAACTAGAAAAGAAGGTTGGACAAGGGACATTTGGAACTGTTTATTTAGCTAAAAAAATAACAACAATAAAAGAAGAAGTTGCATTAAAAATTATTCGTAAAAATGAAAGAATGGTAAAATTATCACAAAAAGAAGCACAATTAGTAAAAGAAATAATGTCATTAAAAGGAATTTATATTGTTCAGTTAATAAGTGAATTTATGTATAAAGATCATTATTGTATTGTTCTTGAAAAAATGGATATGAGTTTGAGAGAATATTATCACATAAACCAAATGAAGAAG